CTTTATATCATGTTTCTCATGGAATTATGGAATTATTTCCCTCCTTTATCTGAGCATGTGCTGGTTATTTTTCTGAAATTCTTTTTAAAGCACTTAACTTGATGTGTTTACTTTACTTATATACAGTCAGAAAATATGTAATTACTTAGAAAAAAGATTTAGGGTGTAATTATGTATTCATATAGGATTATGCCACATGCTTCCCTCCTGAATGTATTTTAAATTGTGGTTTTACCGCATTACCTCACATCCTTAATTCAAGAGGCATGTTATGATGCTTAACTGTTCCCTTCTTCTACTCCCTCTCTTATTTTTCTTTCTCATAAAACAGGCTGAATGGGTTGAAATGTCTGGTTTAGTTCAACTGTGCTAAAATCCTATGCTTAAGTCACCCTGGGTAACCAAAGAAAGACAGAGACTGAAGGAAGGAGTAGGGACAAGAAGGGAAGGGAGGGGACTTACTTTCTGGGCACTGACAGTTTCCAGGCACCTCATGTACAGCCCCCCTGAAGTAATGAGATTTCCATTTCATAAATGAAATAAGAGGCTCACATGGTTAAATGACTCACCCCAGATCTTATTTTTCTGTTTGGAGGAATCCAACAAATGCCTACTACCTCATTATCTGATTTCATTATCATTTCCTAAAATCTCCTGCTCCTCCTCTCTTGCAGAATGTAGGTAACAGCCCTGTTATCTCATTCTGCCTATTCACCCATTCCAGAAGCTCCAGTGCTATCTGCATTGTTCCCCCCCCCCCCGCCATCCCCTGCTTAATTACGTCTCTGCTTCCAGCCCATTCTGCTTTTTATAATAACTTTGCCCCCCTTCCTCTTCCCATTGCTGATACCAAAGTCTGGGGCCCAGTGGTTCTGGTTTGGGGCTATTTCAATAATCTCTTGGCTAATATCTCTGCTTCCAGTTTTCTCCCCCTCTAATCCTTGCCCTCACATGCCTGTTTTGTGATATTTCTGAATGGCGGGTTTGACAACATGACTCCTCTTAATGCACTAATGATCTGGGCCATTTTCCTTGCACGTATCGTGCCCCTTTGCTCTCTCCCATGCGTCCTTCACCAGCTACAAGGAATGGTTCAAGTTTCCTGAGTGGCTGCAGGAAACACCAAGCTCTGTTGGTACTCTTTGCTCCACTTGGAAGGTTCCTCTCTTGATGAACTGGAAAACATCTTCTCCCTTCTAAGACCTAACTGAATTCTCCACTCCTCTCATTTTCTCTTTACCCCACTTTTGAAAGTGGGGGTCACCACCTCCTTTCCCCTGCTCTTCCTTGAATATTCTTATATAATACCATCTACCATGCTCGGCTGCAACTTTTTGGTTTGGTATTTGAGTAAATGACTTCATTGCCATTTCACCAATGGTACAAATTATGTTCTTGTTGTATTCCTAGAGCCTGAATTTTAAGAATGCTTTTGGTTGAGAATGTTTTTGTTTCCTTAAAGGTTTATGTTAAGTGTAAAATATTTTTATAATTCAAACAAAATAGATGAGAGTTTTGTATGTCACAGGCTTACCAACTTTCATTATTAGTGCAGGTAGGCAGAGCGTGCTTGAGTTGATTATTGGAAGATGGTTTAGAATGGACTTGCAAGTAGATCAAGGAAACATTCAGACTTGTACTTTTTATTCTGCAGTAACCATTAGCTTTCCCTGCTTGTTGGGGTTGGGATATAAGCTGTCCCCGCAAAGCTCCTGTGTTAATGAATGAATATTCAGAGGTGAAATGATTAGATTTTTGACAGCTGTAACCTTATCAGTTCATCCTAATTTGATAGACTGTCTGGGTGGTAACTGTAGGTAGGGGAGTTGTGGCTAGAGGAGCTGGGTCACTGGGGTATGCCCTGGAAGATTCATTTCCCTGTGACCCCTTCCCTTGCCTTCTGTGCTTCCTGGCTGCCATGAATGGAGCAGTGCTCCTCTACCAAGCCCTTCCACCATGATGTTCTGACTCACCTTGGGCCCAGAGCAACAGACTCCGCCAACCACGGACCCCCACTCTAAAACCATGAGCCAAAATAAATTTTCTCTCCTCTAAGTTGTTTTTATTGTTTATTTTGGTCACAGTGACAAAAAGCTGACTGACACATTGCCCTTAAAATTATTCACAGGGAGCCTGGTGTGGCGATGCCCACCTGTAATCTCAGCAGCTCCAGAGGCTGAGGCAGGAGGATCACAAGTTCAAAGCCAGCCTCAGCAAAAGCGAGGTGCTAAGCAACTCAGGGAGACCCTGTCTCTAAATAAAATACAAAGTAGGGCTGGGCAGGTGGCTCAGTGGTTGAGTGCCCTGAGTTCAAGCCCTGGTATTCCTCCCTGGCCAAAAAAAAAAAAAAAAAAAAAAGTAGTCACAGGGGTCAAAAGACCCAATTAATTACCCTTCCTCCTATGAGTTCTGAATGAGAGTAAGATAAGAAGTAAAATATCAACAGATTCAAATTAAATGATCAGTTTTATTTTTAGGTAAAGCCAAATTGGAGAACATGACTTGGACTTAATGACAAAATCAGGTTTCCTGTTTCACTTCTGCCTTGGATGTGGCTGATTTGCTTGGGCTTAGAGAACTGTGGGAAGCAAGGGCTCAACGTGAGGAGGTGTGCTCACTATGTGCAAAAAAAAAAAAAAAAAAAAAAAAAGCTTTGGGTGCCTCAGGAGAGAAGTTGAGGTGTTCAGATCGGGCAGCAACCCTTCACCTCACTGCCACAAAATGAAGGAATAGAGAACAATGTCAACACACTCTTAGGATCACACCAGTCTATAGAAAGGTAGGAAAATGATTTAACAGTCTTGGGTATATTCCCAAAGGAGACAAAATCAGCATGTTAGAGATACCTCCACTCCCATATTTATGGTAGCACCAACCACAATAGCAAGTATATGGAATCAACTTAAAAATCCATCAACAAGTACAGAAAGTAGTTAAACTATAAATCTAATAGGGAATCGTTGAACTCTGAATTGGGCCTTGGTGAGCAGAAAACAAAAGTAATTTTGACTACTTTAAACTCAGTAACTCAGTGAGGGTTTTTTTTTCCTTCTTTCCCCCCCCTCCTCTGGAGGTATAGACTAGCATAAACATTCCTCTTTCTTTAACACCCTCACCACATTTTCTTGTAAAAATTGTAATTAGCAAAATTCATATAACAATGATTTAAATTAGTATTTCAAGAATTGTATATTATTCATTTAATTTTAAGATAAGGATTGGAATAACTGATTTCAATAAATATTTTTATTAAAACTGAAATAAACAACTGATGACATTAAAAAAATCCATCAACAGATGAATAGGTAAAAAAAAATATGGTATATATACACAATGAAATACTATACAGCCATGAAAGGATGAAGTTCTGTCATTTGCAGCAATATAGATGGAACTGGAGGACTCATGTTAAGTGAAATAAATCAAGCACAGAGAGACAAACACCATATGATCTCACTCATGCAGAATCTAAAAAAAAAAAGATCTCATTGATGTTGAGAGTACAGGAGTGGTTACCAGAGATTGGGGAGTGTGCAGGAAGGATGGAGAGAGATTGGTCAATGGCTACAATGTTACAATTAGGCTGGAGGAATAAGTTCTAGTGTTCTACAGCATAGGTGAATATAGTTAGCAAAAATGCACTGACCATCTCAAGAGAGCTAGAAGAGAGGAATTTTAATGTAATGTGATGATGACCTAAAGAAATGATAAGTTTAAGGCAATGGATATTCTAATTACCCTGGACTGTTACCTAATGTGTATACACTAATTAAAATGTCATATTGTATCTCAAATGTGTAACTATGTGTCAAAAAAAAAAAAAAAAAGGAAAGAAAAAGCCCTGAAAGTGTTCCTTTTATTTAATAAATGAAAGTAGGAATACCAGAAGACCAGGGGAGAGGTCAATTCTTTCCAGCCAGAGTCACAGGCTAAATCATTCTCTTAAACTCAAAGTCAGATATCTTGGTTCAGGGAATTCTCTTTTTTTCATGGATGGGCTCTTAAATGCTCTAAGTAAAAAATGTTATGACTCTCTTTGTTTTTACCTAATGTTTTTTTTATCACGATGCTGGTTAGAACAATGATATTTTCTGATCCGTAGTCAGACGTGTTATCCATTGCACCACTGGCCCAAGCTTAGAACAATGATATTTTCAACACAAAGGACACATATGTCAATAACGGGAAGTTTAATGATAAGAACAGTTGTTGACTTGACACAAGGGTGTGAGTGCTTTGATGGGAAGACTGACCCTGTTTGAATGACTACGAATTACAAGGGACTTTTTCCTGCAATTTATGGAGTGCTCTGGACCATGTCATCTCAACCCCAGGTCAGTGTGTAATTGCACATCCTGATGGCAGTGAAGAGCAGTCAAAAGAAGCTTGTGCTGTGAGTTCAGTGGCTTGTGCTGCCTATGCCGAGTTCTGCATGCTTGGACTCTTGGGTCAGTCCTTTAAGTTCATGGAGTTTACGATCCAGATGATGTTTCTAGTGGAACTAAACTATGATAATATGAGGCTGTGCTCTGACCTGTAATTTATTAATTCACAGTTAGATTTTAGTTCTGACTTATTTTAGGTCTGTGGGTTTGTATTCTTTTTTATTGCTAAATATATTCCCTAAAAGTTGGGATCTATTTAATTTGATCCATTTTAAAGTTATAATAGTAAAGGAAAAAAATTGTGGTCAGGAGGCAACAATGTAAAATGAGTAGATCAGATTTTTACACAGCAAGTCTCTTTTTCTAGGTGAGTTAAGATGATCTTCCTAGAAGTAACATCCTTTACGGATGCTCAGCGCCTACAATAGCCTATCAGTGGAAGAGGGTCCTTTAGACCAGTGCTTCCCAAACTAAAAACAAAATGTGCACACAAAGCACCGACTCAGAAGGCGTGGGGTGAGGTCCCAGGTTTTGCATTTCTAACAAGCTCCCAGATGATGCCAATGACCAAGGAGACCAAACCCAAGTTACCAAATCAAAACACCAGCTCCCAACTCATCATGATTAATTTTATTCCACAGCATGTTTAAGGGAATGTTATTCTCAGGAGGATGTTTGGGATTAAAATAATTAAAAAAAACCTGGAAAGTACACACATTTATGTATCTCTTCTTTTCATTAAATATATATCTGTTTGGCAAAAAATGTTAGACTCTTTTGTACAAAAACAAAGCAAAAAAAAAAAAAAAAACCTTGCAAATTGTAAATACCTGTAATAATTACAACGATGTAAACTTGGATGTCTGACAGCTTGACCATCCCATGGAAAACCTGTGTTGCAGCAGGTTCCCCAGGAGAAGGTGACACGAAACCCTCGGATATTGACAGCCCGTCATAGAGGCATTTAGGTTTAGTCTATTAGAGATGGAGTGTAACTACTGATTTCATTTGTGCTTTCAGCTAAGAGGCTGGGAGCATGTGTGGAAATGAGGAAGGCAGGTCTGGGCTGGGGCAGGGAGAGGAAGCCCAAGACTAGCTAGCGCAGAGGGCAGCGGGAGGCTGGTCACGGTCACAGTGCAGATGCGGAGTGGGCGTGGGGTCTGTGGACTGTTTGGGAGACCCAGTGCTGGCGAGGCTTACTATGAGCATACTGGCGCTGCCCTTGGGACCCAAAAGGACCAGGGCAAGGCCAAGTCAGGAGACGGGGAGAGAGATCTCAAAGCAGATCTCAATTCAAATGAACCTGGTGACATGAGCTGACCCTCGAGAGAAGGGAAAGGAGAGCATGGCGTTTGTCTTCCCATCAGGTAGCTGCGCCATTTCTTCCAGGCACAGGCCACCGGGTATTCATTCCTTGTGGTCTGGGGCTGCTGGCTTTCCTACTCTAGGAAGGAAGGACTTTGCCTTCCAGGGATTAGGATGGAAATGCCCGATGGCTCTCTTGCCAGCAGTGGCTTTTGGCTATTGTCCCACCAGTGAACTGCAGCAATGGGCAGTGATCTAAAGCAGCGAGTCCAGAAACAGATCCAAGGAGGTGGGAGGGGCCAAAAATTGTTGGGGTTAGAGGTGACACCAAAGAGAGGGTGACCTGCAGCTTCCCTTTACCAAAAGATGATTCCAAAGCACGAGTTATGTTTTCCTTCCTCTCTCCTGTTAGCTAGATTTTCCAGTTTGGGAGCGGGGGGCTTGTCTGGGCCCGGCCACTTCAGTTACAGTCATAGACGAAGTCGTAGTTGCTGGGCTCCTTGGGGATGGGTGGAGGTGCGTCAGGGATCTGGATGTTTTCCAGGTCCAGGAGGCGGAGCTTAATTTCCATGCTGAGCAGGGTGTCCAGGTCATTCCGTGTCAGGTCGCTCATCATGTCTTTCCCAAGCAGCGCATTCAGCCCATCCGTCCAGATACAGTACTGGCAGGGAAAGGAGACAATGGTGATCACTACTGCTGGCAATTACAAGAGCAGTGCAAACAGCTAACACCTAGGGAATACTCAACATTGCTAGGCTCTGCCCTAAGAGCTTTCTGCTACTGCCATTTAATATTTGCTGCTGCCTCTCTACAAATTGGACATTTCTGTTGTCATCTCTATTTTATAAGTTAGAGAGCCGAGGCAGAGAAATTAAGTAAAAGGGTAGTAAGTGGAGTGGGTGGAATTGGAAATCAGGCAACCTGACTCCAGAGTCTTTGCTCTTCCATGTAGAAATGTGTCCCTAGGGAGCAGCAGAGGGTCTGAGTTCTCCACGGTTGTGCAGCACAGTATTGCTAATAACCTACCAGTGCATGCCTGGCTTTAAGGTATGGTGGGATATATATATTCTAACACTCCTGGACTCAGCATCATGCCAAGCTTCCTTCTTTCTTGACTCCAATCATCACTCCTAGTCCACTAGCTAATGTCTGCCTGACCTGATTCCTAGCATGCACAATGCCAGCTCCATTCCACTCTACAAAGATGTTCTTACCTGTGTTTCTCAGTGAAAGGGTAAGGAAACAGCTTTTGGCTGCCCAATGTCTGGTGGCCAACATGGCTAAAATGATTGAGTGATCTCAATGGGAGATGGGAAAGAGGACCATGATACTTGGAGAAGGAGTCAACTTCTGTTGCCAGCATCTCAGAAAACTGCCTGTATTTGGATACTGTGCTTCCCTACCAGGTAGGTTGTCCCTGGTCCTACACAGGGCTCTATGATAGCATTTGCTCTGCTTCCTGCTCTACTGGTCTTTCTTCTAGCGTACGCTCTAGATTCAGTTCTTTCCACGCTTTATTGGGTCAAGTTGCAATTTCAGATCCTGCTTAAGTCTATCCTTGGATTGTGGCTACCTGGGCCACAGAATATTCAAGAATTATAGCCCAGAATATTCAAGCATATCTCAACATAGCATTAAGAGACTGGTGGCATTATATAAGTCTTAAGTCACTGTGATGGGATGGAAATCTGCCATGATACACGCCAATGGCATTGTTTTTTGGGCTGAAGTGCACCCCCTGTGTGAGGAGTGCAGCAGTGAACTGTTGGACTTTGGTTCTGCCTTGGCTATGTGATCTCAGCCAAAGCATTTAACCCATCTAAACATAGGTTTAGTGCTAAGGGATTTCTGGAAGCATTAGTGTCCTCATGAATACCTCAGCCAGATTCTGAACATGTCTAACCATCTGTTTCCTCACAAATAACCTTGATAGAAATAGATACCTAGTTTCTACCCTGGAGATCCTGATTTTTTTTTGGTTTTGGATGAGGAAATTTTATCTGTAAAAGCTTCCTAGATAATTCTGATGAATATCCACATATGGGTACCACCAAATACCATGCTCTCAAAGTTCACTACCAGCTCTGACACCATTTCATGGGGAATCCCCCAATCCTGCTCCTATACACAACTTTACCAGCCCTGGCCAGACTCCTGGTGCATATTAATCCAGAGGGACATTTTTTTGAGAAGTGACCTACAAAGAAAATTTTATTAAAAATGATGTTGAACAATTAGAAATCTTGTAATACTTACTTTGAGTTGGAATTATTAGTATCAACTCATGGTATATGTTATCTCAAAAAAAAAATCACAACTTCTAGTTATGTCCCCCAAAAGACCTAAAGATAATGATCAAGTGTTAAAAATCACACCTCATGTCCAGATTCTCATAGCTACCATTTCCTATCACAAGTAACCAAGGGTTTAGAGAGAAAAGGCAGGAAAGATGAACCTGGTGTATCTTGTCATAGCAGAATGCAGAACATTATCAAAAACACAGGGTCATGTCATTAGTATCCATAAGCCAATTTGATGGTGTACCTACTTGCCCCAGATAGAATAATTTGGATGCAAACATTGGTAATAACTGCAATATACTGACACAGATATGTTTAAACCCTAACTTTAGGGTAACCAAATAGTTGATGAGTGCTGGGAGCCATTAGCCAAGTAGGTATGACAATTTCCTTGCCAGCGTACCCCATGTTGCAGTGACATTGAATGTACGTGACCTTGCTCAAGGACCAAGGCAGATTAGGGTGTTCCCGGTTTTAAGATAATCATGTTTAGGGCGTTCCCAGTTTAGGTTCCAGGTTTAAGGTTTAAGATTATTCCTGCTGGGAATAGGGCGTATCCTGCTGCCTGAGTTCCCCTTGAGTTCTCACGGGATTCAGACAGTATATTTTGGAGATAGAAGCCCAGTGGAGGTGGATTTTGGGCAGAGAACGTGGATTTCCCCAGAACGTGATTGTAGACGGCTGGTGTGAGTTCGGGAATAAAGAGTTGCTGTTTGAATCTACAAGCTGTGTGGTGGCTCGTGATTGTGTGCCCAGCCAGACTGCGGCATTTGTGCCCAGCCAGACTGCGGCAGATGAGGCCAGTTTCTCTTTCTATATCCCACTAATAAATGAAGACAGAATGACAGAATTGAGATATCAACCTTTGGCAACTCTAGTGGATTCAAAGATTTAGGCAATGACCATCAGTAGCTGCTAACATTCAAAAAAGAAAGACAAGAAGTAGAAAACACTATTGCTACTGCTTAAAAATTGAGCCTGACTTTCTGGTCTTCAAAACACCAATTTATAGGCAATATTAGGAAGAGAAGAATATATAAAATGACATTGCAGTCTGTGGAGGGTAGAACAACATCTCCCTGTCAAAGATATCCACATTCTATTCCCTGGACCCTGTGAAAATGTTATGTTATGTGGCACAGGGAATGAAGGTTGCCACCAGATGACCTTAAATTAGCAGATTATTGGAAAACTGGATTTTCCACATGTCCAATGTAGTCACATGGGTCCTTAATTGAGAGAGAGGGGAGAGGCAGAGGGACATTGACTACAGAAGAGGAGGCTGATTTGATGAGAGGGCTCAAGCTGTCACTGCTGCAGATGGATGGAGGCCAAGGAATGCAAGAGGCATTCAGAAGTAGGAATGATAATTTGGATTCTCCCCTGAGCCTCCAGAAAGGAATGCAGCCTGTACCATGTTGATGGTACCTCAGGCACATCTGACTTTCAACCTCCAGAATTCTAATCTAATAAATTTGTGTTGTTTGATACTAACAGTCAGTGGTAGTGTATTGCAGTAGCAACAGTAACAAATACAAAGAATTATAATCAGCACAATCTTAGACTATTGACCACATTAGAAGAGTAATGACCTGGTATCTTCAACAAGTAACTTGCAAGGAAGAGAGAAGCACATGCACATTACTGTGAAAGAAAGAGAAACAGAGAGGGACTAAAGATTCAGAGAGACCTAAAACTTGGCAACCAACTGAAGTGTATGCATCTTAGTTAGATTCTCATTTGAACAAAGTATAAAAGAAAAAAAGAAACATGCAAGTTAGACAACTGTGGATGTCTGAGAGTTGACTGTGCATGATGATATAAAAACTACCACAAGAGTCGTTTGGACTGGCAGGAAATACTGAGCTCAACTCTGGCTCTGTCCCTCTAGTGTAGGGGTTAATGGGAAGGTTTCAGGAGAAAGACTGCCAGGGTTCAAATCCTAGCTCTATCACTTACTATTTGAGTGATCTCGAGAAGTGTTTTTTTTTTTTTTTTAATTTGTTTTTTAGTTGTAGATGAACACAATACCTTTGTTATTTATTTATTTATTTGTTTGTTTGTTTATTTATTTTTAATGTGGTGCTGAAGATTGAACTTGGTGTCTCTCATGTGCTAGGCAAGTGCTCTATCACTGAGCTACAACCCCAACCCAAGTTTCTTAACCTCTGTATGCCTCATTTGTCTTTTTTACAAAATAGGGATACTATTAGTTTGTTTCTCGTAGAATTACATAAGGATTGAGGTGATCCACACATAAAATTATATATCTATACGTTTATATCAGTATTTATAATCTGTAATAGGGACTGGCACAGGATGATAGAGGCTAGTTATAATTACTATTATCCTTTCTGTTGTTGAGGTCTTCAGTTTGGGAAACCTTTCTCCCCTCATTTGATAAATAATATGTGTAATAGAACTTTCCATTTTATGGAGTGATTGTGAAAATAAGATGAAGTAATCAATATGCAAGTGTTTTGAAGAAGCTATAAGAATTCATAAGCATATGCTATCTCTGTCCTCGTTGCCTCTATAAGAAGTGACAGGAATAAAAATCTAGCAGTCCTAGAGCATATATTCTTATCTGAAATTAATGTACTTATGCAGGGGAAAACAGCCTTGCATTGATTTAAATTACAGCTGACGTTCTACTATTCTGAGTAGTTTTCTATAATGTTCTATACATTTTGAATTTGGTGGCCTGTGTATAACCACTCTTTTACTTAAAAACAGAACTAGTAGGACACAGTGTCTATTTTCAGAAAGATGAAGACAACGTCTTACCCTTCTGCAAACTAAATGTCAAGTGACACAGAATTATATTTAAGCACCATTCTAAATGCAGGATTTGTGTCTAATCTTTCCTCTTTCTTTGGGATGTACGATTTTATTCAAAAGCTTCAAACCAGTGAAAACCAGATACTAAAGACCTTCTAAATGAGCTACATCTCCTAGGGGAAATGAGGAACAAAAGTCAGATTTCACTAAAATGTTCCCTTCCCTTTCTAAAACCTGTTTATGCAATGACATGCAAAACAAAAACTTGAATGGTATCGTCTAAAAATAAAATTTTCAAGCATGATGTTGGGTTCCAGTTTACAAGAGAAAAAGTTAAATCAACCATAACTGCTACTTTGTCTTACAAATGCATTTTCCTAGATTTATGCTAAACCTTTTAAATATAGCTGACAGCGTGCTTCAAGAAGAGAAACAAATTATACATATAACAAGATGTCAAAAAGGAATAAAAGCATCTTGGAAATAAAATTCCAACAGCAGAGACAGCCCTAACCCTCTTAAAATAGCTTGAAGAAACTTGGAGAGAACCTACTTCATCAGATGTTTTAAAGAATAGAGACTAGTTTATCTTGGGAAAATCCAGACCAAAAACCTAAACATTCAATGAAAACCAAAGCTCTAGCCAGGGCTGCTTCTTCCTCTGGATTAACAATTATGCCTTTGCTAAGTTTGAAGCATTTGTACATCCATTTTCTTTATCATTATGCTATAATTTGGACCTTAAATGTACCCTAAAGTCTCATTTGTTAAAGGTTTGGTACCAGCCTGTGGTACTATTGGAAAGTGGTAGAACCTTTAAGAAATGGAGCCTAGTTGAAGGCAGTTAGGCCATTTGGAGTTGCCTTCAAGGGGATATTGGGACCCTGGACCTTTCCTTTTCTCTTGCTTACTTCCCAGTCACCATGAAGTAAGGAGCTTTCTCTTTCATAAGTTTCCTGCCATGATGTTCTGCTTTACCAGAGGATTCAAAATCATAATAGATTCAACCAGCCACAGCCTAAAAGCTCTGAAACCCTGAGCCAAGATAAACCTTTCTTGCTTGTTAAGTTGATTATCTCAAGTACTTTGTCCCAGTAATGGAAAGCTGACTAGCACACATGAAATATCAATCAAACTACTAAGAAGTTGGACCTGTTATAACTGGCAATTTTTAAAGAGGTTTCTAGTCTACCTCAAGATAATAAGATTCCTCTTTGTTCATGATTATTTTGGGCAGATTTCAAAAAAATTTTTCTTCTTTTCCAGTATTTTTCCTTGTGCTGTTTTTCTAGAAACAATATAACATTCTGTAATAAATCAACCCCACTGAGACTCTTACCTCATGCTTGTCAGGAGCAATGAAGTTCAGTTGGCAGTTTGAGTCATACAAGATGGAGAAAGCAAGTTCAAGCACCTCCTACAAGAGATCCAAGAAAACACTACATTAAAGAAGATTGGCATTTTCTTTTTACAGTTATAAATGGCTGCAGCTTGAACATGGAGTAGGGCTTGCTGCCTGTCTGGATAAGAGAAGCAGCAGTGAAGATAGCAGGAAGAGGGGGCATGCTTTTCAAGGTTTGCAGCATGAATCCTTCTCTCCATTCAGGAGAGATCTGTGGGAACCACCTGATCTCTCATAACAACCATGTAGTAAGTGATGTCACTACCCTTATATGGGGCAGAGTTTAGAGAGGTTAAGGCCACATGGCTCCAAAGCTGTTCTCTTCTTCTTTCTGCAGTATCTCCATCCCAGGGAGACATAGCAAACACTAAACTCTCCCACAAGCAGCAGCATGAAGGGCTGCTCTACCTTCTATCACTCCCAAACAGACAGAGGTCCATAAAGGTCTGACCTCCCCAAAACATAGAGGCTATCTCCAAGGCAACGAGCCTTCTGGGTGAACCCAAATCTCAATGGCTGTCCTTTGCCCTTTGCACTACTGTGGAGCAAATGCACACACAGATTTTATTCACTAGAGGCTGCAGGATATTAAGGAGAAGCATGGGTTCAAGTGACTCATTCACTGTGGAGGGCAGACCGCGGGCCAGGCCCAGAGTTCCAAGAACCAAATGACACTTTCATTTCACTGCAGCTAAATGACTTTGGCCAAGGTGCTGAGTGTCAAGTCTAAAATGTAAGTTAAAAACCACTTTTCTAGGCATGTAATCTACCAATATCTAGCACCATGATCATCCTGCTGGCCTGAGCAGTCAACAGGATGGAATCTCTGGAAAATGAGAGTCCTCAGTACATCCCAACACCCCGTGGCTCCAAATCTGGAGGAGAAGGGTCAAGTGTATCCATACCCCTCTCTTCTGTGGTGATCTGGGAGCTGCACTGCTCAGTAACTGCCCCAGGGAACATTCTTTCTTAGGGAGCCAGACTTCTCCACGTCATTCTCCACCTCAATACGTGTCAGAGGATTTGCCTTTGGTGAGTGACCCCTGGCGCCAATGCCCCAGAGAAAAGGTGGAAGGCAACCCAACAAAGTCAATGCCTCCAGATTTCAGAAGAATTAAAGAATTTTGCCAAAATAAACTCCGAAGACCTACTGTGAGCTGGATTCTTTCTCAAGAGAGTCCACCAAGAAGCTATTTCTGGTTCTCGTGGAGTTCCTGTGTGCCATTGCTCACCTCCAGCTGTTCCCTCATCGAGAGGAAGCAGCTTTAGTTCTGAGGCCAGACCTTCCAGAATCTCACACTCGAATGGCTTCCCTCACTCCACCAGAAATAGAAGGAAAGAAGGATGTTGTGGCATGGAAGCTATTCTGAAAAAACACTCCTCCATTTTTTTTTTTGTTCTTTTTATTCCTTAGGATTCCATGCAGGTCTCTGCCCAGTGAAGATGACATGTAAAGCAGCTCCACCCAAACAAATAACAAACAAATCCCATTTTCCATTAAGTTCGGCACCTGTTTCCATAACCGTATCTCACAGGTCTTTTAATTTAGAATTAAATCATCATAGCTTTACTAGTAGTAGCATCAATTGATATTATCCTTAAAAAAATAAAGCAATACACATCAAGAACCAGGGAATCCCCCTCCTGGGGTTATTCCAGAAAGAATATTCAAAAGCAAGCAAGTTACATATTATTATCTGTAAGAACATTATGACAAAGTAACTATCTCTCTCTTCTTTGGGTACTAAGGAAATCACAAATTAGCAATTGAAAGAAATATATATGGTCAGTCATTCAGTAAGATAATTATGAACACCTGATATTAAGTGAAAAGCAGGAGAAATGAACACTATGCGCACACAGATCATAATTATGGACAAAGTAGACAGACTACTAGAGACCAGTATGTGAAATGAAAATTGTGTTAAGGTGCTGGGATTATAAATATTTTCTCTTCAAAATATTTTTTTTCCAATAAAACCTTGAACTCTAATCTCAAAAATTCATAAAAATTATTGTTGGATAAGGAATGTTGTATAAGCAACTATTTCTTTACTCATCGGAGAGTCATTCATTAGAAAAACTCTGACTCATTCTTGAGAGAAAGGAGAAGATGGGCTTTGCTTTTGAACAACCAGTCTGGATATCACAGCAGCACCAGGGGACTTTTCGTGGTAAACAGGACAAGGCAAAACTCATCAAAATCTTTCTGGCTGAGCCTGGATGACAACTGCCACTTTGCTCAGGGAAATCGCATGGCCAATCACCCCTGGTGGCAGCAGCTGGTTTGAACATCACCATGGCTGGCCCGGACTGTGAGCTCCTGACAAGGTGCTGAAGTCTCCTGAGACCAGGGTATTGGCAAGGTCAGCGCTGTGACCCTGTAACACTTTCTCCTCTGCAGAAGGATGGAGAAGGAGGAGAAATAAAGGGGTGCGCTGATTTTGGGCTTTGCCCTTGTATGCCTTACTTAGGATGTAAATGATCAGAGCTGTCCTGACCTAGATTGCTGATAAACACAGGCAGGAAATGGGAAATTCGTGAGAATGTCAATCCCCACTTTAATTTCACTGAGGCTTCCTGGGAGGGTGGGAGGAATTAATTCTCTGAACCACAGGCCTGTGTGAAAGGGTGCTATCACTTATAATGGGTTTTATTGACGTCTTCAGCTTGCTGTCATTGAATCATTGGTGGAGGTCAGCTCTGCAGCACTTGGAAAAGAGAGGCTGCTGAGCTGGGAGCGATGGCGCCTCTCAGGCCAACACTCTGGAAGATGCCACCTGTCCAAACTGCCTGGGAGGGAGAAAGGCGCCAGGTGGTGGCTGAGAAGGCTGTCACAAAACTGGGGCAGTGTACTCCTCAGGGGCTTCCAGCCACAGACCACAACAATCACACAGATATCTAATGCTCTGGGGCTTTGCTGCTCACTTCCGAAGGCCTTTCATTCCCTCTGGATTTAATTCAGTGAAAAATCACACCCAGGAGCAGTTTATCTCCTCCCGTTTTGCTGACACACACCTGCCAGCCTGCCATGTGGAGGAAGGTTCTGGATGGGCTGAGTTCTAGGGAAGGGGGGGATCATCCTTCTATATCCTCAGGTCTCTCTATATCGTCAGGTCTCTGACTTTGAACTCAGTCCTCTGGCCCTGGGATCAGTGACAAGGCACACTGGGTCAAGGATGTTCAGAGAAACAGCACCTGGGTGCAGAAAGTGTATGAATGCATTTTCTTCCATGAGTCAAAAGATAGACTGGCAATACAAGAACAGAATCTTATGCAACGTATTTTCAGTGCACAGCACTGGTTTAGGTTTTAGGGCAACTTAACGTATCTGGACATTTTACCCAGCATCCCCTTAAATACATTGGTTCTCCATCTATCCAGATCATCTGGAGGACAAAGTATGTTGATGAAAGACACAGGATGGAATTTGGCCTATGTGTGGGTGTTAAATATGGCCCCAGAAATAATAGTAGATTTGATAGCTATAGTGCATTGCTGCTCACCTATATATCTGTGAATCTGAGTTTCTGTTTTAAAAGGCAAACAAATTTACTCATTCGGGTAGTGCACAGTAGAAGAGGCTGCTTTTTTTCAGGCACCTATACCTTCTAGGCTTCAATCCATCTTAATAGCATTAACCTCTGGTTCTCCAACCCATTTTCTTCTCCCTGTCCCCGGGTATCCTAGGCTCCCAATTCACTGGTTCCCAGTTAAAGAATGCTCTTTCACACATGGAGAGGCCCCTGGGCCTTTTGACATGCTGTGTCCTCCTCCTGGAAAGTCTCGCCCTCATTTCTCCACCTGGCCAATTCCTTTTCAAAACCCAGCTCAAGTGCCATTTCCTCCATGAACTATTCTCAACTCTACTACTCTGTTTAAATTAATTTTTTGGTGTATATGATGAATTGTAATTGTACATTTATAAATAAATCATATCAGTGGACACCTAGGCCCAAGGCCAGGTAATATTTACCTTTGGATTCCTGGTACCTATCACAAAGAAGATGCTGTATGAATAAGGAGTGCAGTAAATCTGAATAAAAGTCTTTTTAATTAAGACGAGGGTTTCAAGCCAACTCTAAGACATCACCTTCTAGGAAAATCTGTTTCTTATTTAAGATTTAAGAATTGTATTATAAAAGCAAAAGCTGGGTTCTGGAATGTTGGAAGATGCTAGCTTCACTTATAACTAATATTCTCCTATCTGAATCAGGATCCAGTGAGATCCGCCCTCTGATGATTACACGGTGACGGTCTAAGCTCCAAATCCAGTGAGAGAGCACTGCATGTCCAAGTTAAGCCACACAACAAGAAGTCAACTTATTTTATAAATTATGGAGTTTGAATTTAGAATCCTTAATCCTTAAAAATCGAAAGTCTTACAATTGAATTTCCACCCACCCATGACAATTCCTTTCAAATCTCGGTCAGAAATTTTCCACTCTCTGAGAAGAACCTGGCATTTGTTTCCACAGAGGTTTGCCTGTTGAACAGAGCTTTGTTAAACACTTAGATTCTAAGCTCCTGGAGGCTGGGCCATGTCTCCCCATTGGCCACCCCATACCCAGTGCTCATCAGATCTCAGGCACCTCAATGCTGAATGACTAAATGTGTGAATAAATGCCTCTACTATGGAGGGCCAGTTCTCTTCATCTCTTTATTTTCAGGGCCTTGGACAGTGCCAGAGACATTAGCAAACGTTGAATAGGTGAGAAGACTGCTAGAGACTAATATTTTTCTATTAATAAAATGTCTCTTTTGTGGATTCTAGTAGATGAGTTTGCCTTGCTCAGCAATTAAGCCAACCAAGTCCCGGGGCACAAAATGTCAGAAGCTACGGAGTTTCTGGAGATTCTGTGGGAAGGGTCAACAGCAAGACTGGGTTGTTGCCCATCCTATACTTAAAGATCTCCTATGGACATATTTTGGCTAATTCTCCTTTGAAGCTGCAAGTGTCCCCTCTCTTACTCAGAAGTCCCAAAAGTAGGGAGGAAGGGGCCTCTGGGTTCCTA